TATTCAAGTAAATAAATGACATTATAGCTTCTAAAGAATGAAGAAATATAAATAAAAAAAGTTGGATGAAACTTACAAATATAAATATAGAGGGCTTAAATATGTGATTTACTCGATTTTAGTTAATTGGTAAGCTTAATATCAAGAAATATTAAATAAAGTTATACATGATAATAACCGCAATATACGTTTTAATTCAATCGGAATAAATTGTTTGTTACAAAATTATAATAACAGATTTATATATAAATGCTTACATAATTTATTATTTTTGATTTAAACTTAATTTCAACATAAATAAATAAATAGATAAATATATAAAAAAATAAAAAAAATGAAAGAAAAAAAACTTAAAACCGAGTTTAGTTTTGATTAAAAAATTCAAAAATGAAAATAAAAAAACTTAAAGCCGAGTTTAGTTTTAATTAAGAAAAAATCAGAGTTCGATGTCTAATTTAGCATGATCCGAAATTCAATGTCTAGCTAATTTAGGATGTCACGTAGGCAGGTGAACCGGAAAACCGGCTACAAGAGGCCGTAAGGGAAAAAACGAGTCAAAACTCAGACTTTAGTGTCCAATTTAACGTGATCAAATCTTCAGTTGCTAAATCGAGTTGAGAGTTTCTATAATAAAAAAAGTCAAAACTTTTTTCAAACGACAAAGCCGTGGATGGACAATTGTTTTGACAAACTTGTGTCGAGAGCGTATTGATTTATTTCTAGTCACTTCTGTAGAAAACAAAATTCAAATGGTTGATTGGTAAAAAACTCGTCTATATAGTTGGTCTCTTTGTAATTATTTCTAGTTTTTTCCTACTATAATAAAATGTTGTCATTGTGAAAAATATAATGGTCCACAAACATTCTTATTATAAATGCATGGTTTTCTGTTTTACTTTAATAAAATTTTGTCATTGTGAAAAATATAATGGTCCACAAACATTCTTATTATAAATGCGTGTTTTTCTGTTTTACTTTTGATACGTGCAGGTATTTGTACCAATTTCTTTGTCGCTTAAGTATATATCAATAAGATGACATAAATATTTATATTCAATATTTGTTGTTGATTGTTATAACAAATTGATAGTTCTTAAGCTCAAACTACTTGTTAAAATGTTATTGGACCATTTTACATAAAAGTTAGTAACAAAAAACTAAACTAGAACATCCTCATTGATATATTTCTACTTAAGACCTTTTCAAGAATAAACAATTATTTCAAAAAACTCACTATGGTCCATCATAATATTGAGATTAAAGGGAACCAATGATAGCTCAAAGTGACACATTAATTTATTAACCTAAGTTAATTGATATTATAGATAGCACTCGACTACACTCACTCATCTACTTTAATTGCACATTAAACCTCCCTTTTTTGGGGTTCTTTACAGCCTAATCACAAATTAATATAATTTTCATTTCTTGTTGTTAATAACTTAATATTATGACTTATGAGTATTGACATTTTGAATCATTTAAAGATGGATAAAGCCACATTGAGAGTTCTTATCAACTAGTGTCGTAGCCAATATGCATGAAGTAATCACAACGTCCTCAAATAGAAGAATGATGCATAGGTTTGAAAATGAAATCTTGCTTATGGATTCCTACTCTTCACCTGCTAGGGCAAAGACCACGGGGTGGCCTTTTGAATCATTTAACCATATTGTCATCTTGTAAACTTAAAACATAGACGTATTCTCATATAATAAATGGATTTGAACAAAAAAAAAATCATTTCTTTTAGCAAAAGAAAAAAAAACATAATTAGTTCAAAACTGCCGAAAATTGCACGCAACATGGTTTGTTTGTAATTTTCATAAAAACGATGGTCATTTGCAATCGCAAGTCACGTATGCAAGCATTATTGATATCGATCGGTTGCTACTCAGACTTTTATTAGGGTTAACCGTATGAGTAGAAATGTAAATTGTAAATATTAATTGGGTTGATTGGCTTCAAGACCCGTGTGTCTTGTAGTGTTTTGTTTTGTCTAGCTCTTTGTTAACTTAATAAAATTGTTGTTAGTTTAAAAAAATATATCAATAGTTTTATCCTTTGACATGACACATACCAAACAATATGGAGCAGTGTCAAAGTCTAACAACAAATGATCACTTGTTGTACTCGCACATCAAAGATATGAACTAGGATGTCGAAAATAATTGTTTACGACGTTATCCTGCTAACATGGTACAAAACAAATACCATGTATATGTCTTATTGTGCTCAATTGATTATTCGTGAAAAAATCAGAAAGGAGAAAATCCTTGATCGTTAGTCCAGAGGCATCTATGTGAATTTATTGAGCAATACCCATCTATGAAACTCTTATTATCTAAATAGATGTGATTACATAAATTTTATCAATTGATTTAATATATCATATAATAAAATTAATAAATATAAAGAATAGTGTCCCTTTGATTGTATAAGAGGTTAATAGGGAATCTCAATGATGATACAAACTACCAAAGGCTAGAAACCAATGTGTAGAAGATTAAAGTATTTGTCATTTGCCCCCACCATTTTTCTTTTGGAAACCAAGATTATGAAGACAGGTTTTTCAAAAAGAAAAAGAAAAGAAAATCATGTGCTTTTCTCCTATGCCCACATGATCCTAACAACTCTCCATCCCTACACAAGTCTTAGATTTTTCAATGAAAAGTTTCTTGAAAAAAAAAATATTAATGATGCAAATATTATTTTACATGGATTGATGTTATAATGTTTAATGGCAATACTAAAAATCATCTAGGTGTGAGTTCAATGTTGTTTTAAACAAAGATTTCCTAAAAAGGAAACATAGCCTTAAATAGATTAGTTAAGTTATATACCAAATGGTTGAAAAAGAAACAAATGAAATAAAGGTTCAGATTAAGAGGATGGAAAAACCCCACCAAAGTCTAACCCCTTTGGTGTCCTTTTGGATTTCTTGTGGGTATACAATATGATATTATGGTCTTGAAACAATTAACCAAGTGATATAATAAATAGTTGAAAACAAAGAAGATCAAAATCATTGGTAATTTTGTTAATAGACTATGCTTAAGAGAACATAAGGTTTAAAACATTGACAAACTAACTATTAAAAATCCAAAAAATATACAGTATTCTGTTAAACATAAAAAATTTATGTTTAGCTCCTATGAAGACACATGACATTAAACACACGTAGTAATGAAGTCACATATAGATTAGTAAAATCAAACTAGATATGTATGTGTGAATAACTGAATATTAAATGTACAAGAAAAGAGAGAACGAGAAACGAATAATGAGAAAGAACATGGAAATAATAAGAAGACTTTTGGGTTATTGTGCCTTTTTTGGAAAGTGGGAGGGGGAAATTGAAAATACAAAAAGCCATGTGATAAAAGCGGCTTTCTTCTCTTATAAAGCGACCACGCCCGTTTGGCTTGCAATCATGTGGTCTACTTTGTGATAATTTCCCTTCACACTTCCCTATACTTTTGCTCATTTGCTTTGTCCCCCCTCCAACGTTTTTTAACATTCTTCTATACAAAGTTAATTCTTTTTTCACAAAACACCCTTTTATCGAGATCAGACACGTATTCTATCCCTATTGGAAGAACCAAATAGTATACTAGAAAATAATCTCATATCACATCAATATCATTTTAATAAAAGTAATATTTCATTTCTTGTACTTCTTTTAAACAGTTTCTTAATAGAGAGTTGATGGAGTAAATGATAAGAGATGTATGAATAATAGCAGCTTTTAAATAATAGGTTCAAATTGGGGATACATTTTCATCAAAGGGCAAAATTGGTAAAGACATTATTTTTAAAATTACACAAAGTTTTATTTTATTATCTTTGAAGAAAGGACCCGCTCGTGCGGCCAAGCCACTCAGGAGATATGATTATCTAACATGAAATAATTAGGCTTAATATATTTATTAATGGGCTAAAAACAAAGCAAATTTGAAATGACTGAACAACCCCTATCATTTTCCAAAGTTATAAAAAGCCCTTGGGAATTTTAGATTTATTCATTTGGACCATTTTTTCTCTTTCTTGTCAGCTTTAGACCTCGAAGATGAATGAGACAATATTGTTGGGTTTAGAGACATAAGTCAAGCGTATTAATAAGCG